AGCTTGGAGTGACTAAGTTCCTCTATACAGACCATCTGTGCAAAGACCATTGCCAACCCCCTGCGACGGAAGGCCTCCATCGTTTGGAGGGCGTTGACGGGCTGATACTCCACCTCCTCGCCATCATGCTTCAAGACGATCTTGGATGCCTCGACCTGAAGAGCTTGATGAGAGGGCTTGGGATTGGTGAGCTCGTGAGTCCTGCTGGTGGCTTTCTCGGGAGGAATGTACTTAAGGACATTATCACGCTCCTGCTGGCAGCAGGCATCAAGCAACGAGTTGCTCGGGAGATTCACACCATCCAAAGTGATACCTGGCAACGCCAACCTCCGGTCATTCAAGCGACGATTTCGCTCGCTTCAGGAACTTTCCGGGGCGCTGCCCCAGCAGAGCCTGAGACTTGGTCCCTCAAATCCGCCACCACCAAGGTTTGCGCTTCAAATATGAGGCGCTTCAAACAAGCCTGATCCCCCAGCGCGAGGTTTGCTGCGTTGTCTGCTATCCAGTCTTTAAAGACTGGCTCCGTAACAGCTTCACCCGGCGATGTGATAGTGTAGGCCGCTTTGCCTATCGAGGTGAGGCCGAGCCCTTCTAGAGTGGCCCAACCTGCAGGACTAAGCCCAACTTCACTTGCACGCCTCTTGAAGTGTGCACTGCTGTCAATGAGCGACGACATCGCGCAAACGAGGCCCCTAGTCTGAAAGTTCACTAGAAATTACAAACACACATAGGAGAAATCAGATAGGATGAGCATGCCAGAGTCACATGAAAGATTTGATATCAAACATGAGGCTTTGAGGAAGTCTGCGGCTGCAAGACACAGGCCTCCAAACATCGGTCTCCTCTCAGACATCAACAGCGGTCTGTCGCAGCGGGTGTGCGCATACGATCTGAAGTCCTTTGCTCAATCAGCAACCTGGTGCAAGTGTGCAAACGAAGGTTGTGGCTCTAGGCTCCAAACGCGAACAAGCCCATGAAGATTTAATTGGGACATCGGACGGGTCCATCCCGCACGTTCCTTAGGCCCCGCACGCAAACATTCTTTTGCGCTCGACCTGTGAGCTCTTCGCTCGAATGGCACTTCGCCCCTCGCCACAATGGCGTTTGCACTTTCCGGCAAATAGCCTCCACAAAACTTGGATCAGTCATCCATGGGCGGTCCGATCTTGAGACACACCCGGCAGCGGCTATAACGCATATGCTCTTCTCGTGCCTTGACGAGGTTCATCGAGGCTCTACCACACACTGCAATCATTGTGCCGCCTCCTGAAACATGTTTTAGTAAATGCAGTGCATGAGTCTTGACATTCGCCAAGCAGGACTCTTGGTCCCACGCTCCAAACAAAACCCTCGGGATCTTGGGTGCCGGCTCTTCGCTCTCCGAAGACTCAGACACCGCCCGGGAAGAAGAGCTACTGCTATCACTAGCCGCGGCCTCGGAAGCTCCCTCACGAAGCTCCTCGTCTGAATCCTCAATGACTTCCACCTTGGCTGCCGGGGCCATGATGTCCACGGCTGCGGGGTCTCCTGCAGACGGTGAGGAGCTCTTTGGGAAGTAATTCGCCCTAGCTGCGTCCGGCTTGAACGAGCTATCAGCTATGGCTTTGAGCATTGGCTCGATTGCCTTGACGGTCCTCAAGGATTCCTCACGAGCATACACTGGCACACTTCCCTTCACGCACCTGGTGTGCCTACCAAGCAGCGCCAGGATGGAGTCATCCAAACAAAACTTTGACCCCCAATCTAGAATCGTGCGCTTCAGCGAATGCGATCTGACGAGGCTCACATCCGAGCCGCCACGCTGCAACATAAGCTTGAGCATGGTTGTGCACTCGGAAGATCTGAGGCTCCGGGTCCCGGGTTCAGGACCCCCAGGCCTGCAAGGTCTAAAGACGCCAGCCCTGACCACGCCTTCGAGAGATAACCCAACTCTTGCGAAGGCTGCAGTAACCAAACCAAGCCAATCTCCCTCTTTGACACTTCGGGCTGAGACGATAACAGGAAGAAGGTCGTTCCGCTTGGCCAGGGTTTGCGCCGTCTTGTGCACCCTAAGTCGTACCTCCAGGTAACCGCTGCCCTCAGAGTCAAAGTCGGGGATAATCTCCTCCACCTGGAACAAGTCACTGTGACGAGCTCTAGCGTACAATGCCAACAGCAGGTATCCTGATATGGCCCTGTTCCAGTCGCTCTCCTTTGGATCCTCCAAGACCGTATGTAAGTACTTGACCTCAAGCACTGTCAACGGCCTTGCACGCGACGCAGGTGTCTTCTTGATGCTCAGCTGAACGCTCAAACCACACACCCTTCGGCTGCATAAAATATCTTGCATGTTGACACCAAGTACGAAGTTGACAAATCTGAGGGCCGACAGAAGAGATGCAGCACGCGACGGGGGAGCTTCCTCCCGCTTTAGCCAACTGAAGAAATCCCAAACCACGCCCTCTGATAGGGGCGCCAAGGTCTCCTCTTTGTCAGCCCACCTCAAGAAAGACAGAATCGCATTGGCTCGCTTCAACACAGTGTGAGGACTGCGCAGCCCAACACACGCAGCTATGGTTTCCTGCAACTGTCCCTGAGGGGCTCCACCTTCTAAGGCATTGCAAAACTCAGCTGAAAGTCGACTTTTTTCAACACGGCTAACGATGAGCACCAGCTTGCAAACGGCCTTGTCCATAATCTGGTCACGTTCGAGTGACGGGTGCACATCCTGAAAAGAACCGAAGGCCTGGCTTGCAACGTCCAGGGTAGGAAGCGGAGGTCTCGGCTCATCTACAGCGGCAGCAGGGCTGTGGGCTGGCAGTAAAGGTCCCGGCATTCTGACGATGAGGTTATCGAAAGGATTTGAGGGGTCCTCAGAACCAAAGATAGCTCTGAAGACGCCCTTCTCCCAAGGGAGAGCCGGGGCCGGCAAAGCAGAACGGCTCACTTCGCTAGCAACTGTCCGCTCAATCACTCGGCTTTCGACATCGAGCTGATTAGGACGGGCCACAACCTGAAGGACAGAGGGGCCGGCGACGGTGCCCTCGAGTCTGTCATACGGGACACTATCTGCACGTTGCTCTGAGGCTCCGCTGTCTTCCCTCACCCGCTCGTACCACTCTGCTTCACAGCCTGCTTCCGACACATGAGAAAAAGAAGGCGATGGCACGTCGCTTTGCTCCAACCCTCGCTGGCACTCCTGAGGGGCAAAACCACCTCCACCCCAGTCTGACTCACCAAAATTACTGAACCCTTCATGTTCCCAGTCATAACTTTGGGCTGAAAGCGATGCAGGTGCTGAGGCGGAGTCGGCGGGAACCTGGGTTCTAGCTCAACCTGGTCTCCCTGCAGATGCTGAGGCGGAGACGGTGGGAACCTGTGTTCTAGCTCAACCCTGGACTCTTGAAGGTGCTGAGGCGGAATTGGCGGGCAGCTAGGCAGCTAGGTTCAGGAATGACGTGCAAGTTAGCCTCAGTTTGAACCCCCACATTATCCGCAGATGGCAGTGCATGGAGGTCGCTTTCCTGATGCAAACGATGCAAGAGAAGGTCAACTGCAGGAAACTGCACAGGTGTGTCAAGCGGGTAATCTTGGGAGCCGCTGGCTCGCGCTTGCTGGCGTAGCAAGAATTGCTGCTGACTGAAAGCAGACATATTGGATCACCTGCGGAGATATAAATGCAGCAGGTGGCGCCCGTTACGTCTGACAACTGCAACAAGCTCAAGCTGCACTCGATGGGTGTCGTGGCAGGCAGCGAACAAGCAATGGCAATCCTGCACACCAAGAAACAAAAGCACAGCACTACACGTATAGTTGGCCCCAAGGCAACCTGACAGGTCAGGCGACAATACCAAGTTGGTCCAGCCTGTGGAAGTTTCCTGCTGCAAAGAAAGCCACAGCACAACGAGGCGATGAAAGGGCACGGGAGCTGCCGGGCGGTTGTACCGCAGGCAAATGTCCATCTGATCCAACTAAGGGACCGTGCACAGCCTAGGGAGAAAAATTTCTTGCAGCTTGACAAGAAAAATTTTTTGCAGCTTGACAAGTCTTGACTGAACACAGTTAAGATGTCTTACAAGCTTGACAGCTAGACGCACATGTCATGCTTGCTCGCTCAGCTGTGCTTGAAGAGGCGAGCGCGGCATAAAACATTCGGTTCCAAGTTGTTGCACAAGAAGCCCACTTCGAGAGAGAAAACTGGCAGCCACTTTTCCCTTTCAAAATTCTCAAAATTTTAAAAGGCAAAACTTAAGCTCAAGATATTAAGGGACTATCAGCGCACGCACTGACGGTTTCCTTAATATCTTGAGCATAAACGGCTGCCAGTTAGGGACAGGTGTAGGGTTGCTTTAGGGAGACGTAGCAACGACAAAACTCAAAACTAAAACTCAGCGAAACACTCGGACAGCGTCCACTCTTTTTCAGTCCAGCGGTGACTGGGGGTTCGGTCTTTTAAGGCACGGCTGTAGCCGACGCCCCGCGGCCAGAGACCGCATTGCACAGACTACTTAAGGCTGCCAAACTTTTGCACGGCTCGGAAAGCTTGATCGGCACTCAAGCAGTGTAGTTTATCTAGCAACCCTAAAGCTTAGGCAAGGATCACCTCACCCCCTTTTAGCCGCTCAGTTTTTTTCAAAATGCTTAGCACTTCATTTAAAATACTTTCACAGGCGAACCTAGCGACATCTTGTCCTAGCAGATTCATGCTTTGCATGACGGTCCTTGATGGCTCGTCCGCGACGTTTGCTGGGGAAGGCACCCGAGCAAACCATGTATACGCTTGAGACATAGTTTCAACTGTAAGTAGCAGTGCTGCCAGCGCCCTGCCAGTACTGTTTCGAGAAACACCACTTATGGATACGTCTCTTGCTGAGCTATTATCAATGTAAAAGACGACAGGACGGCCATTAAGCCAGCTTCGCCAGAGGGCGAACGCAATTATTACCGTTGCCAATTCGGCCTCGAAAATTATTGTCTTAGTCTTACCTTCTCCCAAGAGGGACTTCTGAGCAGTGGTCAGCTCGGCAGAGAAAAAGCCTAGCGGACGCCCAGTGCTGTCCAGGCAGACTCCTCCCACTCCACAGTAACTCTTATCCCCGTCTGGAGAGTAAGATGCATCCGTGAAGATGTAAATGGGATCCAGGGAACAGTTCTTGATGACTCGAGGCAACCTTGCTTCGAGAAGATCTGCGAACTTGAGCATGGCAGATTTTGCTGCCTCATCCAAGCCCGCCTCTTTCTTTTGATCATCAGACTTCAAGGCGGAGATACACAAGCGGCCTGCCCTGCCAAAAAGTTGTCCGCCCGCAAAAAGCATGCGGCCCCTGAGGCGCGACAAGTCCTTCTGTGTAAGCGCATCGTCGTCAGCTGCCTGCCTGACGGAGGAAGAAACCTCCTTGACACGCTTATCTGTATTTTGAAGAAAACCTCACCCTTTAAAAACCTCTCAAAATCGATAACCACCCCGAGGGCACTAAACTCTTTTGAGAAGGGTTTGTCTTTGTTTTCAGACACCTTCCAGCCTAACAGGGCGGAATAGTGTCATGACAGCCAGATCCACCGACTTGGATTCTTGCTCTGATGCCAGACAAATAAAATCGTCGAAGAAATGGCTCCACACCAGCTTCAGTGCTTTGCACCCGATGTACCACATCGAGTGCGCCACCCTGAGGTAAGAGAAAACTGCGCGAGTGGCCCCGAAGGGCAATGCCAACATTTTCCTAATCAGCACCTTCCCTTCACGGGCACTGAAGTAGGCTATGTACGCCTTGTCCAGACTGTCCGGCGAAATAAACATTTGCCGATAAGCGCTTTTTAGGTCGTAGGTCTTACCCAAGACAGGAAATCTATTAAGTTTCTTTAAGCACTCCAAAACCATGGCCGCCACCACATCCAGCGATTGCGGTTTTGGGCTTTCAGTGGTTTGCACTGCCCCATTGACCCCGCTATCGCTGAGGTCATCTATTAACCTAATCTTGTCGCCCTGTTCAATGGCGAATCTGCGGCTGATGGATGCAGTACACGGAACATCCTCCAAGTTGACCGGTTGGGATAACCAGCCGAGTTCCACCTCCTCGTCGACCTTCTCTTCAAGGGGTACGTCTAAGTGGCCTTGTGATTTGATTGACTCCAGAATCCTTCTTTGCTCCGACTGGGCGTTGGCTTCAAGATCAGCGACCGTATGCTTCGCTGGTTTAAAGGCTGCTGGGAAGACATTCGTGCAAGGAGTCTGGCCTGTCAGCTTGACTCCACCAAGCATCTCGTCTACCACGTCCAAGTCTGGATATTCAAGATCCTTCAGAATCTCGCGCCACAAAGCGATCCTTTTAGGAAGTATTATGTCACGAGCATACTCAGGAAGGGAACTCTTTAGTTTGTCATCTTCGGCTGACATCTCTGTTGCTTTGTTTGTCCATTTAGAAAACCAAGCAGCCCTCAGACTCGCGACCTCGGCGGGGCTCGACTCTGCGTTGAAGGCTATGCTGTGTCCGAGGGCCGAAGGCAAGACTGTGTCGAAGGTTCTCGGGTGTCCAGCTTCAACGGCTTTCTGCATGAACTCTTCGGGTGACCAAGATTCACCCCAGGCTAGTTCGAGTTTATTATCCCCCCTATTATCCGCTCGAAGTAATTGACTGTCTTTAGGAATCAAAAGCGGGGGATCGAACCGCGGGTCTTGCCAAGGCTCGGACAACCGGGCACGCACGGCGGGGAGGGCAACGGCATCGTTGGGGCCGTGCAAAACACGGACTGCTTTGTGTTCGGGCACCAAGGGCGGGAAAGCGGAAGCTCTGGGTTGGGTTCCAGAAGCGGCTCGAATGGCTGAAATAGCAGGCTCGGCCTCAGGCAAACGCTGAACTGCTGCGGTAAAACATTTAGCAATGGCATCGGCCAAAGCATGCGGGTAGGCAGTTTCTTGGGCAGTGGTGAAGTCACCTGTGGTGGGATCGCGGCCCCAAGGCAGGTGATGCTGGGCACAGGCGGGACCTGGGCATAGTCGGTGCAGGGAACTAAAGGAGGGATGGTTATGATGTATTCGAGTCCACTTTGGGCGGCGACCGCCGAAGGCACAATGTTGAAAATCAACATGGAATGGGCAAGTAGGTGCAGCTTCTGACCAGAAGCTCGTGGCCCAAAAAGGGAGTTCCTGGGATTTCCACCGCAATCAAAAGATTGCGACTCTGAGCATGCCTGCAGAGTGTGCCTAAAAATTTATATAACTGGTTAGCGCGATTCACCCTCACGAAGTCCTGACCTGACAAGTGCAAGAGGCCGTCGGGATGTTGTGATGACCTAAGCGGGCCGGGACAGGGCTCGGCAAGTTTGATTTCGCGTGCTCTGGAGCACGTCCCGCAAGGGGGCGCCAAAAATATTCCAATGACATGCGGACTACTCAACCACTGAAGGGCAAGACCTTGGCCAGAAGACGAGGTCAAGTCTGCAATAAGCACTGGACACGCCGCCCCATCGACGCGTTGGTGATCAATGCCCTGAGCTCCCTCAAAACCCAAACGGCGCAGGGAGGCAGTGACCCTAGCAGTTCCAGCAAAGAACTCAAGCACGATTGGAAAGCGAGCAGCGATGGGCCTTGGCAGCGGCACGACCTCACCGGTGGATAACGCAGGCAGCTTAAATTCGGCTTGAATCAAGAGATCCTTAGATTTTTGGTCAAGTTTGTGAAAATCATTTATGACGAAGGCTGCAAGTACACAGCGATCGCCCGCCCAGGGGCACGTGGCGTGCCTCTGATGTGCATCGAAAAGGATGGGCTCATGCAAGGGAATGATTGTCCCGCGGGCGTCAGGCAAGCTGGGATCCGGACACGGATCCGAACCTGGACCTTCCAACCACAAACCACCATCCTGGAATTTATTCAAGGGGATTAGGGCATTAAGGAAACCAGACTGATTGTTAAGGTCTTGGTGTGCTGGGGTCAGAGTGTTATACAACACTACAAAAGAAGTGAACTCAAGTTCGGGAAAGATGGAGCTGATAAGCCTCGCGAAAATCTTGGAAGTAAAAGGGTACTGTACTAAGTTGTGTCGCAGACCAACGATGCCGCCATGCACATAGGCACCGCTGGCCCAACTGAAGTCTCCCGAAAATCTTTGGTGTTCTGATGGCAAGTTCTGCAACAAAGGTAACACATCCTTGACCTCGACACGATCTAGGGAAAGCAACCTTTGGGCTTGCAGTTCAGTGGCTTGTGTAGATTGGAGCTTTTCGGTAAGCTCGCCTGTGATTAATACAGGGTCGGTGTGCTCGATGACATGTGACGTATCAAAAGTATTCGAGGGCGCGGCCAAATGCGGTTGCCCTCAGGAGGCGGCTGTGCACTGACGTATGGGATGGCCGCCAAAGCAGCGAGCACAGACATGCTGGTGAGGGCAGCCTGCGCGTTTACACTCTTTCAGATTGTAGGCAAATGCAAATGCTTTTGCCGTCAGCAGTCAGTGCATGACCTTTGAGATCGATGAGCTCCTTCGGCAAGGGCGGAGTGCCCTTCCGCCCCTTGCCGTTGCCTTTGCCATCTTTGCCCTTGTGAGTCTTTGTTGGAGGTTCCTGACCATTGAGCTTCTGATGACGCTTGCGCGGGCCGCCTTTGGGATTGCCTTTGCCTGGGACCTGATGCATCAACCACACACTGACCTCATAGCTCTCCAATGCTCGCTGCAGTCCGGCATCAAGCGGATAGTTTCCCGCTGGGTCGCGCCGAGGTTTGATGCCCCACTCAACCAAGAGTGAGAAGACATGTTTGTCGGCGTTCACCAACTGAGCAACCCCTATCCTGTTAAGGCCCGGAGGGGGGTCTCTCGACAAATGATTAAACAAGCGATTGATGTAGCGATCGTAGCTCGCATAAGAAACCATCTGTGCAAAGACCATTGCCAACCTCCTGCGACGGAAGGCCTCCATCGTTTGGAGGGCGTTGACGGGCTGATACTCGACCTCCTCGCCAGCATGCTTTAAGACGATCTTGGATGCCTCGACCTGAAGGGCTTGATGAGAAGGCTTGGGATTGGTGAGCTCGTGAGTCCTGCTGGTGGCTTTCTCGAAAGGAATGTACTTAAGGACATTATCACGCTCCTGCTGGCAGCAGGCATCAAGCAACGAGTTGCTCGGGAGATTCACACCATCCAAAGTGATGCCTGGCAACGCCAACCTCAGATCATTCAGGCGACGATCTCGCTCGGCCTCAGGAACTTTCCGGGGCGCAGTCCCCGCGGAGCCTGAGACTTGGTCCCTCAAATCCGCCACCACCAAGGTTTGCGCTTCAAATATGAGGCGCTTCAAACAAGCCTGATCCCCCCCAACGCGAGGTTTGCCGCGTTGTCTGCTATCCAGTCTTTAAAGACTGGCTCCATGACAGCTTCACCCGGCGATGTGATAGTGTAGGCCGCTTTGCCTATCGAGGTGAGGCCAAGCCCCTCCAGAGTGGCCCAACCTGCAGGACTAAGCCCAACTTCACTTGCACGCCTCTTGAAGTGTGCACTGCTGTCAATGAGCGACGACATCGCGCAAGCGAGGCCCCTTTTCCTGAAGGTTCACTAGAAATTACAAACGCACATAGGAGAAAGAAGATAAGATAAACATGCTAGAGTCACATGAAAAATTTGATATCAAACATGAGGCTCTTGAGGAAGTCTGCGGCTGCAAGACACAGGCTTCCAAACATCGGTCTCCGCTCATACATCAGCAGCGGTCTGTTGCAGCGGGTGTGCGCATACGATCAGAAGTCCTTGCTCAATCAGCAACCTGGTGCAAGTGTGCAAACGATGGTCGTAGCTCTAGGTTACAAACGCAACAATCCCATGAAGATTTAATTGGGACATCGGGCGGGTCCGTCCCGCACGTTCCTCAGGCCCCGCACGCAAACCGTCTTTTGCGCTCGACCTGTGAGCCCTTCGCTCGCATGGCACTTCGCCTCTTGCCAAAATGGCGTTTGCACTTTCCGGCAAATAGCCTCAACAAAACTTGGATCAATCATCCATGGGCGGTCCGATCTTGAGACACACCCGGCAGCGGCTATAACGCATATGCTCCTCTCGTGCCTTGACGAGGTTCACCGAGGCTCTACCACACACTGCAATCATTGTGCCGCCTCCTGAAACATGTTTTAATAGATGCAGTGCATGAGTCTTGACATTCGCCAAGCAGGACTCTTGGTCCCAAGCTTCAAACAAGACCCTCGGGACCTTGGATGCCGGCTCTTCGCTTTCCGAAGACTCAGACACAGGCCCGGAAGAAGAGCTACTGCTATCACTAGCCTCGGCCTCGGACGCTCCCTCACGAAGCTCCTCGTCTGAATCCTCAATGACTTCCACCTTGGCTGTCGGGGCCACGGTGTCCACGGCTGCGCGGTCTCCTGCTGACGGTGAGGAACTCTTTGGGAAGTAATTCGCCCTAGCTGCGTCCGGCTTGAAGGAGCTATCAGCTATGGCTTTGAGCATTGGCTCAATTGCCTTGACGGCCCTCAAGGATTCCTCACGAGCATACACGGGCACACTTCCCTTCACGCACTTGGTGTGCCTACCAAGCAGCGCCAAAATGGAGTCATCCAAACGAAACTTTGATCCCCAATCTAGAATCGTGCGCTTCAGCGAATGCGATCTGACGAGGCTCGCATCCGAGCCGCCACGCTGCAACATAAGCTTGAGCATGGTTGTACACTCGGAAGATCTGAGGCTCCGGGTCCCGGGTTCAGGACCCCCAGGTCTGCAAGGTCTGAAGATGCCAGCCCTGACCACACCTTCGAGAGATAGCCCAACTCTTGCGAAGGCTGCAGTGACCAAACCAAGCCAATCTCCCTCTTTGACACTTCGGGCTGAAACGATAACAGGAAGAAGATCGTTCCGCTTGGCCAGGGTTTATGCCGTCTTGTGCACCCTCAGTCGGACCTCCAGGTAGCCGCCGCCCTCAGAGTCAAAGTCGGGTACGATCTCCTCCACCTGGAACAAGTCACTGTGACGAGCTCTCGCGTACAATGCCAACAGTAGGTATCCTGATATGGCCCTGTTCCAGTCGCTCTCCTTTGGATCCTCCAAGACTGTGTGTAAGTACTTAACCTCATGCACGGTTAACGGCCTTGCACGCGACGCAGGTGTCTTCTTGATACCCAGCTGAACGCTCAAACCACACACCCTTCGGCTGCATAAAATATCTTGCATGTTGACACCAAGCACGAAGTTGACAAATCTGAATGCAGCACGCGACGGGGGAGCTTCCTCTCGCTTCAGCCAACTGAAGAAATCCCAAACCACGCCCTCCGATAGGGGCGTCAAGGTTTCCTCTTTGTCAGCCCACCTCAAGAACGACAGAATGGCATTGGCTCGCTTCAGCACAGTGTGAGGACTGCGCAGCCCAACACACGCCGCTATGGTTTCCTGCAACTGCCCCTGGGGGGCTCCACTTTCTAAGGCATTGCACAACTCAGTGGAAAGTCGACTCTTTTCAACACAACTAACGATGAACACCAGCTTGCAAACGGCCTTGTCCATCATCTGGTCACGCTCGCGTGACGGGTGTACATCCTGAAAAGAACCGAAGGCCTGGCTTGCAACGTCCAGGGTCGGAACCGGAGGTCTCGGCTCATCCACAGCTGCAGCAGGGCTGTGGGCTGGCAGTAAAGGCCCCGGCATTCTGACGATGAGGTTATCGAAAGGATTTGAGGGGTCCTCCGAACCAAAGATAGCCCTGAAGACGCCCTTCTCCCAGGGGAGAGCCGGGGCTGGCAAGGCAGAACGGCTCACTTCGCTAGCAACTGTCCGCTCAATCACTCGGCCTTCGACATCGAGCTGATTAGGTTTGGCCACGTCCTGAAGGAAAGAGGGGCCAACGACGGTGCTCTCGTGTCTGTCATACGGGACACCATCTGCACCTTGATTTGAGGCCCCGCTGTCTTGAGGGTTCAGCAGTTCCCTCACCCGCTCGTACCACTCTGCTGCACAGCCTACCTCCGACACATGAGAAAAAGAAGGTGATGGCACTTCGCTTTGCTCCAACCCTCGCTGGTACGCCTGAGGGGCAACGTCACCTCCACCCCAGTCTGACCCTCCAAAATTACTGAACCCTTCATGCTCCCAGTCAAAACTTTCGTGCTGAAAGCGATGCAGGTGCTGAGGCGGAGTCGGCGGGAACCTGGGTTCTAGCTCAACCTGGTCTCCCTGCAGATGCTGAGGCGGAGACGGTGGGAACCTGGGTTCTAGCTCAACCCTGGACTCCTGAAGGTGCTGAGGCCGGATTGGCGGGTAACTAGGTTCAGGAATGACACGCAAGTTAGCCTCAGCTTGAACCCCCACATTATCCGCAGATTGCAGTGCATGGAGGTCGCTTTCCTGATGCAAGCGATGCAAGAAAAGATCAACTGCAGGAAACTGCACAGGTGTGTCTAGCGGGTACGCCTGAGAGCCGCTGGCCTGCGCCTGCCGGCGCAACAAAAGTTGCTCCTGACTGAAAGCAGACATGTTGGATCACCTGCGGAGATATAAATGCAGCAGGTGCCGCCCGTTACGCCTGACAACTGCAACGAGCTCAAGCTGCACTCGATGGGTGTCGTGGCAGGCAGCGAACAAGCAATGGCAATCCTGCACACCGAGAAACAGAAGCACAGCGCTACACGTATAGTTGGCCCCAAGGCAGCCTGACAGGTCAGGCGACAAGACCAAGTTGGTCCAGCCTGTGGAAGTTTCTTGCTGCAAAGACAGCCACAGCACAATGAGTCGACGAAAGGGCACGGGGGCAGCCGGGCGGTTATACCGCAGGCAAATGTCCATCTGATCCAGCTAAGGGACCGTGCACAGCCTAAAGAAAAAAATTCTTGCAGCATGACAAGTCTTGACTGAACACAGTTAAGATGTCTTGCAAGCTTGACAGCTAGACGCACTTGTCATGCATGCTCGCTCAGCTGTGCTTGAAGAGGCGAGCGCGGCATAAAGATTCGGTTCCAAGTTGTTGCACAAGAAGCTCACTTCAAGAGAGAAAAACTGGCAGCCACTTTTCCCTGTTAAAATTCTCAAAATTTTAAAAGGCAAAACTTAAGCTCAAGATATTAAGGGACTATCAGCGCGCGCACTGACGGTTTCCATATTAGGGCTTCAGAACAAGAGGTTTAGAGAGTTGAGGGTTTCGGGAAACCCCAAAGAAAACGAAGCGGCTGGTGGTGGCGTGTGCATGCTGAGTCCTTGGGCAAGGCAATGCCATACTCCTGCTCCAGGATGTAGGCGATACCACCCTCATACATCCAAGAACTGCCCTTTTTGCAACAGCTTCACATCTTCAAGAGCCCACCTTTCCACTCTGGCTGTTCACCCGGATGATGGCTTCGTAATGACGACCTATGTCCTCTAAAGCAAAGTGGATGCGAAAGAAACTTGGCTGTAGCACTGCGGCAAGTGTCTTGCAACCAGAAATCGCTGGCTCCTGCGGATCGATGGGCAGATAAGGAACTTCCCACACATTCTGCTTCTTGTTGGCCTTCCGGTCGCTCATGCAGGCTCCGTGCCCCATGCTACGCTTGCCACACAAATGCTTGTGCACATCTGCGAACCTCCAAGCCTTTCTTGATGGCATCCTCCAAGCAAGATTGAGTGCTCTCTTTCAGAAACCGACATGCTGCTGTCGACTGCGTCCTGGTGAGATCCAGAAAATGCTGTGTAAACAAGGCTTCCAGCCCACGGGTACCGCCTCGGAAGTTCCAAACACAGCTTTCATAGGAAATGGATGAAATGCGGTACCGAGTGATTTTGGGAAGAGGCCTTCCCGAAGCTTAAGCTGACCTTGATTGGCTAGAATGGCTAGAATGCTCCGTTGTTGACAGGCCTCCAATTCGTCCACCTATGTCCCCTGGCGTCGTGGGGCAGGGAGTTCATTGTGAAGTCGTGTCCCAGCCTTTGCACATCATGTTTTTGATGGATGCTCAGTGTTCGCGCTTGTTTCCATGACGTCATCGCCGTTGGAGACTGCAGACCAACGTCATCAAGGCTTCACACTCACGCTCGAATCACTTCTGGGGGGCAAAGTAGCTGAAGACAACAGTCCATGGCGCCCATAGCGTACTCCTGAAGAGGTAACAGAAACTGAGGCTGAGGAGCAGGGTCTCTACAAGACGAGAAGTCGGAAGAAGTGCCAAGCAGCGGATTTCACGAAACTCCAACGGTGTGGACGTCGGGTCCAACTCGTGGCCAAAGAAATGGCGACGGAGACCCAAAATGCCGAGTCTTCTTCCGGAGTGCCGCGAGGCACAGAGACCACTCGTCCCGATCCCAAGAAGTTGTCGCTTCACGGGCAGTTTTTCGATTGGGACGAGCCTGCAAACATGCGCACCACGTGGCCCCACCTTTGCTTGCGCTTCCAAGTGGCTGCAAATCCAAACAGCAAGTAGCTACGAAGAGCTGCGAACCTGTGCCGTTGCTGATAAAATTGACTTCCGAAGCTCTCGGCCGCTGCACGGAGTAAATTGTCGTAACCCTACCAGGGGAGCTTTCGACCGGACTTCGGCAGCCATCTTGTTTCAGATGCCACCGCAGTCATTTCCCGACTGCACATGTCGTGCTAGGCTTTGCTTCTGCGCCAGCTGCCGTTGCGTCCGAACATCGAGTCCGGGGCTCTGGAACCTTCAGCTCTGTGCAGTGCTCGGCCACATTGATGGTCTCCTCACGATTTGCACACATCTGCTGGTCAATGTGACGGAGAATGCCGCTACGCTGGCAGAAGGCAGACATCCTCTAGCTCCACATAGCTCACCTCGCTTTTGTAACATCAAGCATGGTTGCTGCCAGCATCACGGCACACGTGTCTGCCTCTGGGTCAATGCCTTGAGTGAACATGTTCAGGGCGAGGGTGACCAAGCACCTGGAAAGGACGTGCGACACTGTCCTCCTGACTTGCGCTACATCTTGCACGACCAGGCAACACATCCACTTCAGCCGCGGGACACGTTGCCCGTGCGTTCTCCGTTTCCGAAGAGGCAACCCTCAACACGGTCAGCTCCTGACAGATCGGTCGTCCGAGACCTCACACTGACTTCGATTCTTCGATTCGTCCAGGCTCCTGCCATCAGGGCCAGCTCCGCTGCTGCGATTCCGGTGCCACGATCGTTGTGCGGATGCACGCTGATGCACCTGAAAGGGCCACTTCAAATCGGACATGAAAACCCCTGTGTAGCACACAAGGCTCAGACACGCAGTCCCGATTGTTGATGTGGGCACACATCCATTCAATTTGATCTGCGTACACCTTCGTCTGAAGACTCGTTTTCAAGAAACCAAGAAATCACTTGAAGCAGTCGCTCGCAAAGTTCAGGCAAGCATTGTCACGCTTTACGGCCCTTCTCTCTTACTGTTGAGCTTCACGCATTCGGAGTGCACATCTCCACTGTCCCCGGCAAGTTCAGGATCAGCTGTCAGCAGAGCGGTATGCATGGCCATTGGCACTGCGGTAGCCTATGCGAACGCGCCGGGAGGACCTGCTCGCTAGGTGTTGGCTTCCACCTTGGGAAGCTGGAAATGTTTCAAATGCCGATGCGATCCTGATTGCATTGCCAATTCCTGGACGGCGACACCCTGACTCGAACGGCAAATGTAGGCTATGTAAGGCCCCCCACACATCAATCACGGCGTTGGAGACATCGAGCGCAAAATCGAGCTCTGTGCCGGTGAAGCTGGCGGCCGCACAACTATAAGTCAAAAGACAGCAGCATCCACCTACCAGCAAGTGCCCGAAATCCCGAGTACGCACTGCCCCAAACACACACAGAGCCACACAGAGACCCTGGTATCAGGTTGCGATGCACGGCCCGGCACATCTGCCAAGCCTTTCGGGAGAGTACTCGAGCCGGACGTTCATTCCTGCCATGCGCTCATCCACCAGCTTCCTGCCATAGTTGCAAAATAGCGCCGCACAGGCCAAGAGGGTACAAACCGCCAGGTCACCTTACAAGGCCAACGCTTTCCAGAGCCAGCTGCTTGATGTCCTGAAGCTGCTCTGGCGAACCAAGCCAAGAAGCCAAGAAGCTCAGTTCTTCATCTCTTGACATCTTAAGATTAGGAGCCTGCCGGCCCTTTTTGAACACAACTCGCCGCTGCCTCGCAACATGGCAGTGGGTAACCACATCATCAAGTCTCTACTTCAGAAACCCCTGTAGATGCGCCAGCAGTGAGACAAAACACTGATTGAGTGCCCACGTTCATCCCTCACTCACATTGCTCAGGATGGGGCAATTCAGAGGTTGAGTTGTAGACGTGAATCCTCAGCGATCGGCATCCATGTCGACATCCTCATAATATGAAAGTGGAGCAGGTCAACAACGTTGTGCTCAGGATCAGCATCTAAGTTGTGGGTGGCAGCAATGAATGAGGACTTCGCACAGGACGACAACGACACCATACAAACAGGGCGACTACGACTTCAGCAGACGGATTGTACCACTGTAAATGGCACCTTGGGAGTCTGGGACAGAATGCACTCTTTTCTTTTGGATTTTCGCCACCCCCCCCCCCCCCCCCCCCGCTTCGTGGAACCGCAAGGGTTTTGGAACGCATCTCCTCACATTTCGTCGTCTAGAGAAGGGCCCCAGGCAGGTCTCCCTGAGCAAGCATAACATGGACGGTGCTAGGAAGCAGCAGAGGGGCCGGACAGAGAGAGTGGCGGAGAGCAGAGTCATGGCATTAGGACCGAGGTTGCTGCACGACGTTCTTGGCGCCTTTCACACCTTGCAAAAAGAAAGGCTTTTCTGCGAAAGCACAGAGCCCTAGCCCGAGCCAGGCCTTCGATGGTCCGCAGGATCAGAGGCTCACGGCACTGCGTGAGAACCTGCCACGCAAGATTTCGCAAAGCCAGGTGCAAAGCCCTGCATAGAGGACCGAACAAGGTCCCAGACCAGCAATCCACAGCTGGGTAATGCGGGCTACATTCCCGCTACCTCTTGTTTACCCCTCCTGACACATGTGTAACTGAAGCCCCGGAGGGAGAAACGGCATGCCAACTGGGTCATGGAAGACAAACCTAGAGATGCAAAGACACCGCATGTCATGCTACGTGACATCTGAGTATCTGTTTCTTCTTCTTCTTCGTGAGCTGACGGCCTGAATCCACACGTCGTCCGGAATCAAACCCTCGTCAATGATGTAGCCTCATGGCACTCATAGCTCATGGTGGCGTTGAGAACGCAGCGCCTTCGAATTCACACTTGGACACTGAGCCTCGCCCTGATGTCACAATCTACAATGTCGAGAAGCCCTGCAAAGCCCGGTACTTTCCCAAATCCGCAGCCCTTGCCGCAGGGATGCAGCTACTTTGGATGTCAACCTCTGACCGCTCTGCGACACCTGGTGGACCTTTGCATCTCTGGCCCTGGAAGAACGAAAGTAGCAACCACCAGAAGCCTGGCGAAGCCTTGCGAAGCATTACAAAGCATTGCGGCCAGGCAACGAATGAAGTCAAAGTCCGTTTGGCTTGCAGCAGGGAAGCCGACCTCTGCGGGCTGCTGAAGCAAAACATCGAGGGTAATTTGCACGCACCTCGATCTCTTTGTAGCCCAGCTTCAACAAATGGAGGAATAAACGCAACCTTGCTGCATGTACACCGAGCTTGGACGACAAAAGGCAGAAGCTTCGCTGCCCTGCCACACGGATTTGAGTTGACTGCTTCTTCTCGTGGTTCATGGGGTTGATCAATGCCTGCAGCGAAACGGTAAGACCTTTGGGGAGCGCCGCAGCGGAGCGTCGCGACGGCCTGATTGCCGTCGCGAAGGTCGACCGTGCACCAGCGCGGTGCCTGCATGGATCCAGACACACGCGGCGGTGTTCAATGCAGAACCAGTTGCCTTGGTCACTCGCTTCTCTGGCCAAGTACGCTTGGGCCTCTCCAGTGATGCATGTGTGTGATCTGCTTTCCGGGACAAGATTAGGCCGATTAGGCACTGCCTGGCAGAAATGACCAACAGCACAACATCACTTCAATTCTCGTTCACTTGAGTCAAGTACATGCTGAGCCAGCTTCGAGATATACTCTCTCGCACTCACGTCACAACCGGAACAGAAAGAAGAGCAAGTTCAAGTGCACATGATTGCACAGGTCGATCCGCTACCATCACCGCAAGTGCAACAGAGAAGATAAGAAGGGCGGGGTTGCCACTTGTCATCGAAAGGAATCTGGTACCTTGCAAGCCCACCCCGTGATAGGCAAGTTATGTTGCTGCACTTGCGTGGACTCAGGAGCCAGACCAGTTCTGAAAGCTTCGATACTTCTCCACCTGACATGTTAGTCAGCACAGGCGGCCGACTGCAATAGGCGTAGGCAAAAAATCGAAGCGACTTCTGCATTCTGACACTTCGCACATCAATCAAACAAGAAACGGTTTTGCACCCTGCGTCCCGACGACTGCAGACCGGGCAGCCTTCATTCGAGGAAGGCGCTCTTCAATTCGCGGTTTCTTGACCACCTGGCTATGCGCACGTTCTGGACATTATGACACATGACAACTCAGCCAGCCTTGGTGTCGCCATTCGCATCTGCCTGGTCAAAAGCTCACGATCGCTTTGTTAAAAAGGCGTCTGTGAAACTGTGTTGCGCTGGGATCAGGGCTGTCATGGCTCCCAGCCTCTGGAGTGCCGAGTGTCTGCACTCTGCATGCTTGTCTAAACTGCCTCCATGTGCCCAAGGCCACCGCCAGCTGTGAAGAAACGACAATCATCTACAGCTCGTCAACCCTATTAAGCCATCAAATTGAGCAAGCGGGACATTGAAACGGTGCTGCTCGACAAGTCGCTCCATAGCAACAGCACCAGTGAGGAGTTGAATATCATTCCAAGGTGCACACAGCTAGCTGCTAGCTATACTCCACCCTGCACCGCGGGAATAGCTAACTCCTTTTTCATTCGACCTGGACTCACCCCGGTGTGGCTAGGGTTCCTGCCGCTAGGCACCCTCCTCTCCGAACCCTCGATGCATCGGAGGTGTATGCCAACTCAGGACGCACCCGCACTGTATACAATCCGCACTAGCGATGTCGCAACTCTGCGCAAGCCTTACATAACTGGCAGGAGGCCAAAGATCGGCACCACAACCCCTAGCAGCGGGTACCATGAACTATCCCGCAACAAGATCCCCCCCGTGCCGCGCGATGTGACTTGTATAACGGCATGTAGCATAGAACTGCTCGTGGCACACCAACGGAACAGCCGCCCTGTGCACATACCTCGCACAATACTCGGAAAGCGACCTAGGTCCAGGCGGCCTGCATCCGCACCCGGATGGGTGACACATCAACAAAATTATAAGCATCAAAACTAAATTTGCCACGGTAGCCATCAGCATCTAAAAAAATTGGTAAGAGGGCTTAGGCTTTAGACGGTAGCCATCAAAAAATGATAGGAATCAAGAAAAATTGCATGGAGGGTTTAGGATTTTTCAAGGTGTTTATCAATTTTGTTGAGATGCCTATCAAATTGTTTAGATGCTTATCAAATTCTTTTTGCTGCCTATGCCACGCACCTAGCCACCACCTGCAAATCAGGACCGTCCTGAAAGCTCAAACTTCACTGCTGCCAATTTGATTGGCTCACAGCAACACTTGACCCAAATGGAAGCAGATGCAGCCTTTATGAATGCAAAGCATGCACCCAAGCGTGCCAAATTCATCATGCTTTTGCGAAACGTGAAACCAATGTGAAACCTTTCCAAGCTGCGCGGACTCCCGAGGCGGCATGCGTGCGAGCGTCGTCCCTAGCAGTTGCACGTGCCGATGCAGGAAGCAGATGTTTGACCATAGACGACTAAACCACCCGATGATCGACGGCATGCTGTATGCCATACTAGAAAGGATGGATGGGTGGAAGAACGACGAGTACAGATCAGTGGCATGTGGTACCGTCTCTCTCGCGTTCGCAGGAAAGGCTTCCTAGCGAGGTGCTGGCAAATCTCCGGCACGATTCACAGCACAAAAAAGAGACTGGCTACCTAAAAAAAATCAGTAGCCTTACGGGAAAGGTCATTGTTGTCTGCGCATTTGCAATGCAAGGCCCTCCCCCTCCCTTTGCATCTGCATACCTTACGTTTCAACACCGCCCCCGACGTATCCTTCTCTTTCACGACGGGGTGCAGAGGGACAGAGTCGGACAGAGGGGGGGGGGGGAATAAGCGTCGAACTGCACGGGTAAGATGGCAAGCGCTCCGTGAAGAACGGCTTGAGCTCAACGGCCCAAGCGTCTTGAGGCCCATTCTGAGTATGTCCGTGGCTTGCGATCCACCTACCTGCCTGAGATAGCCCGGAGCTTGGAGGTATGCCGTTGGCCCGAACACATCTTCGGAGATGTCCCGAGCCCCACTTTTATTCCCGCCTACTCGACGTGATCTCCAAATCCTTCAACAGATTTACGACTGCGGTAACACTGCAATGCCGGATAAACAAAAAGGAGGAGCTACTGCAGATGTGGCACGCCGCACGGTACAATGCTCACTTTTTCTGCTCACTGCAGAAGTACGACACGCTTGAATCTTATTTGCGCGGGTGCCTATGCCGTGTTTCAGTTGGCCTGCGGGCGCCACGTCTCTTTCTTGACCTGCCAAAACGCATGCATCATTGCATCGAAATGAATGCCTTTAACGAAAGTTCATCGCATCCAAGATATCCAAGCACCTGCTGCGTTCCGACGGCCGCAGCTTTCGGCGACTGAAGAGATTTCATGGAAGCAGATGCTGGACGGATGCCATGACGAGACAGAGAAATAAGCGAGATTTCTTGACACCAGATTCTAGCTAAACCTGAACTGCCCTAGACACATGTCAGAGAAACTCACCAGGGACTCAGGCGGGTCTTGTAACTCTCCACACGATATCTGCTGCAAAGAACCCGAGGACAATCGCCACCTGCCACGGACATACAGAAACAAGATTTGTATGCATCGCATGGACCCACAACATGGCAGAATCGCCGACACGAGGCAAACAACTGTGAAGTAGCCGAAACGCATGAAGTCTTCCTGACGGGGTCAGCAGCAACACTCAAAAGACACGAAGCACGCAACAGTTCACGAACTGTCCTTGAACTCAACTTCACACGTTGGACCAGAGTAGGGTGATCGACAGAAACAAACTCCGTGACCGCAAATTCCTGGTGAAGCCATCGAATGAAGCTCGTTAGAAGTGACTCGAAGTCGCTCGGATCTCGACCTCTTCCAGCAGCACAGGCTGGGTTGCAGCCGCCCGGCTCGGTGATCGAAGTCACGTTTCTCCTGACGGCCGTGGCAAGCACCTCGTCACCCTACATTTGCGCTCGTCTCGGCCCCGAGCGCGGGAGCCGTCGCGGCTGAGTTCTGCGGTTTCCTGCGTGGGGGACCGGGCCCAGCGGGGTCAAGGGAGATCCAGGAAGGCGGAAGGCAGCACAGGGCAGCACTCGCACCGGACCTTTGACTGCTTGAATGCAACGTGGCAATGCATTTCCTTTTCCTATGCCTTGGATCCTCGTGCGGTGCTACGCTCAGATTATTTGCCAGACTGGCAACAGTAAGCAGCAGTGGCCCTCCTTTTCGAAAGGGGACTGCTTTGAGGTGCTTGCATTTTCTCGTGCTAGAAGGTCTGACCAATCGGGAAGTCTAGACAGATGAGAAACAGGTCTTCCGGCACAGGTCTTGGCTTCTGGTGAGGACGGGACGTAGAGATGCAACTTCTGTGCAACTTGCAGTACTTCTTCAGGTGACTCTTCGAAGGCATATGTTCTGCATCAAGAGTCTTACACTGGCACTTTTCCGAGCCGTCTCATCTCTGCCAGGAGGGTCTGTGCCTGCAACTGCTTCTGTCTGGAAGAGTCGTGTTGCAATATCCCTGCACCGAGTTGCAGGCCTTACGTATCCGGCTCATGAGAACAGCCGACGGATTGGAAGCCCGAAGCCTCCAAGTTGCCCAGGCACGCTTGCATGAAAGCTTCAGCCACAAGTCGTTTCTGGGATTCTGGCGGCCCTTCATTCAAAATCTTACACTGCAGCCTCGATTGCAAGCGTCTGCATCACGCAGCTAAAGGCCAATCTTCTTGGTGCCAGGCTCAACAGGCAGAGCTCTGAGGGCATTCTCGGCCTGACCCACACGCAAGTAAGTTTGCTTCGAAGACCTGGCCCTGCCAGATTGCACTGGGCCCTTAACAGAATAGTCCACCGCATGTTGCATGCAGAACTTGGCCACGGGGTCTCCGGCAGTGGCAGCCGCCTCGGCCGTGTGGCGGAAGGGTGCTGATCGCTGGCGGTCTTTTTTGCCACAGCTGTACTTTTGAGCAATCAGCCGCTTATGTTCTCTCAAGCCGCCTGATCAGCGCACGGCTCGGCTCCGCAAGAACAGCAACCCGGGCAGGGCCGCATTCAGCAAACTCGAAAATGGAACGGGCAGATTTAGCAAGCAAACCCGGGCACTGTCAGAGGCAGCCCAGCCGAAAGCGGAACACACGCTGGCACAAGTCAGGCAACAAGCAGGCCGAAGTCACGAAACAACCTCGACGGCTTCAAAGAGAAGGCGAGTCATGAAAGTTGAAAGCCAGCAAAGCCTCATGCCACCAAGAGACAAACACACGCTCTCAATCAGATCCAGAACGCAAAAAATTAGAAGAGCGACCAGGCACAAGTAGAGAACAGGCACCGAAAGACAAGGCCCACGTCAAAAACAACAACAAACACAGCATTCTGTGACGATACAGACGAGGCCACACACCGACGATGAAGAGCAGAACAGCCACGATTACAAAAGTCGTCGAAAAGACAACGCCAGAGTCAGCAAGCAGCAAAAAGCCCAAAAATGTGTTTTTTACCACAGTGTCGCCACATAGGAACATGAAGATGCAAAGAACTGCCACCATCAGAAAAGACACGGAAATTAAAATGAAAGGTCCGATTCAGCAAAACAACAATGGTCCCAAATTGGCATCATTACACGGACCTGTCGGGATGAAATGTTCGGAGTGATAGCGCCGTCTGCCGACAGCTATGCAGTCAGAAAAGGAACTTTCGATCTAGACAGCGGAGCGATATGCGATGGCCGTTCAGCGCTCAAGTGCCCCAGATCTCAAGCCCTAAATCTAAATACTAAAGCCACCTACAGCCCAAAATCGCTGAAGTTTGTGTTCTTCGAAGTTGCTGTGTTTACTGAATGCAATGCCGCCCATTTTGGCGTGGCTGTGCTTGCCAGTGTCGGGTCTGTTGTCGGCTGCGGCGCTTGCTAACTCGTTAGCTGATTTCAACTGTCGCTGCTCAGCCAGCATAACGCGACGTCCTGTAAGATTCCTTGGGTGGCGGCCACAGTTTCTGGACGAGGTCGATGTAGCCCAGCAGCTGCCGCACTGGCCTTGTGCAGAGAGTCTTGGCTTTGGGTTTGGCTGTGATGCATCTTGTTCCTCTGAGCCGTGCACGCCGGCATTGTTTTCGACCTGAGAGAACGTCGTGCTCTGTAGGACCCGACAACATTCTCGATTCTCATTCCTTCACTGCGGCTGAGGCTACAATTGCCCTGCAAAACCCCTCCATGCCCTTCTCACCCTTCTCACCCTTCTCCCTTGGTCTGTTGACTCATGTTATCAACAGGATGGATAAGGGAAAGTGCTTCGACCGAACCACACCCCAACAGTAATGCCAGCAGATTGGGTCCCGCAGCTTCTCCAGAGTAACACTGGTAGCAGACCCGCAGACCCACACTTAGACGGCATGTAACCACAGCTCGGAAAACGCCACACGACTTGTCTTGTTTTCCCGACTCTAACGATGCCAAGATAACGGCAATCAACAGGCCTACTTGTTTGCACAAGCCACGCACGGCCGTATCTACAGACTTTCTGACAATTTGAAACAGTTGGGGTGAAAGCGAATCGATGACACATGCCATGCCCATGCGCTTATTGTGCGGTATTCAACGCCTCATTAGCGCAGGCCAGCACTGTGGTCCCATTCTGTTGGGTGCTGGAAACTGGGCTAGACGAAGTGCGTTTTTCCGGCACTCGGCAGCAGAAAGTCCTGATTCGGCACCTGCATGCAAAATATGTGCTTTCGATTTAGCTCCACCGCAATAGCAAGATTTCGTAACTAAAGGCCTTGCGATTGAAGCTGACACCACCAATCAGCGCTGCAAGCATGAACAGCCCAAATCCCAGCGCGATGACAGTTTTGGAAGCACCACCCTGGAAGACAGAGGAAGGGCCGGCAAGCAGTCCGCTGTAGCTCGCGATGAGCTCCTCATCTTCACTCCACTGGGACATCCACTGAAGCTCTTCCTTCTTCATTGTTGCAAGAGGAATCTCCGCTTTGGTGTCCTTCGCAGGGTCAGGGAGAGAGAGAGAGAGCGAGCGAGCCACAAACAGACGTGCCCATAGGCCCGGCCTTGGCGTGGGCTTCCATCTCGTCATCCGAGGCCAGATAGCCATCGCCGAACTGGGTGGGCGAGAGCGACTGGGCGGCCCCGGACTTGTGAGGGAAGGAGCAGTCACGGGGGAAGACGTAGTGAAGCCACTGCGCAAAGAGCCGACCATGGATCGGAACCCTGCCGCCATGGGCTTTGGCAATGGAGTGGAGCTGCGAAACCAAGGATTCATCCAACTGCACATCGACCTGAAAGAGAGATCTCAAGAAGACTTCAGACACCCTTCGGAGATTAGGCCAACTGCCGTCAAGGAGCTTCGTCCTCCAACGTCGTCAGGCTCGTCATGTTGCCCACGAGAGAGAGCATGAAGTCCGGATCTGCCAGAGGGCCTTCAACAGCCGCCTCGATCTCCTCCATAATCGGCTCGCACTCGTTGATGCAGCACACAGAGTAGTGAGAGGCGGTAACGATGCCTTGCGATGTTGCGAGCAACATGCACATCTGCAGTTTCGATCGAAACCATATGGTGCTACGGTACTCTCAGGTAGGGGGCGAGACTAGGTTGGGCTGGACAACGATTGATGTCAACATCCCCTCGCAAAAGCAAGGCACAATTTGAGGCACCCTGGATGTAGTTTGAGATGATCACCTGCTTTCCCAGCCAGGATGTCTCATCCAAAGCTCCCAGCTCCCCTCGGCTCATCTTGCAATGGCAACAGCACGCCAGAGTTTGGAAAACACACATGCACAGGTAGATTGAAGGCCTTCTCATCCCTGCTTGTCAAGCTTCGAAGATATGACTCTGACTCACCGAAACGCCATTCAGCGTCAGTGAGGGACTTGCCATAGAACTTGGACAGAGGCACGCGGCCCGTTCGCCGCTTGTCCAAGCTCACAAGCTTCTGCTTCATTGCCCGACACCTGAGGTATAACAGCTGGAGCAAGGCCAGGAACATGTCATGGCTGCATCAACAACACAGGATGGCTTCCAAGGCACTCAGATTCCCAGTAGGATGCAAATGACTTTGTGATACCACCTGCTGAGAATACGAGAGAGAACTGCGGTCGAACACTGCAAGACAGAGTGGCAATCGCGTTCAATCACTGAGCAATTATAGAGATGGCAGTGTCAGATATCTGTCACATTTGCACCTCTAGCGACGAACACCGCGCCTACAACGGTGTGCGCATCAGTGAAGGAGTAACCTCACACGACGATCGCTAGCCGAATGGATTTGCGACCAGGCCCACGCCCCGGGCCACACAGAATCCGCTGCCAAGGAGCGCTTGAGCAAAGCGTTCCCTCCAGACTGGATGTTGACCTTCGGGCTGCTCTCGCGGAGGTAGTTCAAAGCCTGTGGTCGCTCTGGCCCGCATTCTCACCTCTGAAGGCTTATGTAAGGCGGATGCCGAGATCTGGCCACTCGCGAACAGCAGAAGCTGGTCCCAATGAGGGAAGACCTGCTCAAGTCAATTTTCGAGAGTTCACCCTGCATGAAAAGGACCTGAACTTAAACTCTGCGCCTGCCCGAGCTCTCGGTTGTTCCCCAGCCTGGATTTGCGCAACGGGTGGTGCTGCTGAGCCAAGGCCGCACCTACCTGAGGTCCAAGCAAGGGAACGATGTCGTCCCCCGCCATCCACACAGCGATGTACGCCTGGCCAAAGGAGACGAGGATGCGGTCCATCACTGCCCATCACTGCCGGAAGGACCGAAGTGCCTCTAGGAGTTGTTGGAGACCCTGCTCGGAGAGCGGCCGAGATAGTGGCTTGTGCTGCAAGTTGAAGACCTACCAGCAACATTCACACTCTATGTAGATGTAGAAGAGATTGTGCGAGTTTGGTCCAATTTTGCTCGCCGCGACCACGGAGTCTGCGCAGGCCTAACTCAGCCAATTATGTGCCCCAACTCCCCAGACGCTGCGCTGCTCATCGCCCAATCGCCCGTGTCCGCATTTCTGTACGCAGCAGCACAGGCACGACAGCCGCGGCGGCACTCCCTTGATTGCCGTGCAATCAACACGGCTCCTTGGCTTGCTCGACGCCAAAGCCCTGTCACAACACAACGTGTCTCCTTCAATAGACTTTACTGAATCTGAAGCATCCCATAGTTGCTCTGTTATGTTATGAAACCTGCACATTGAACTCGCCTGGGCCTAGATTGGAGAGATGCTCTGTAGAGATTCTGATGACTCGTCGGCTTAACCGTCGTGCGGGCTTCCCCTTGCAGCCCTTGCAGTGCCCCAAAGAGCTTTTCTGCAGATTTGTGTTGTACTGCTGGCTTTTCGCTTTGCTGCTTGAACCTATCTGGCAGCAAAGGAGCAGCTTTTATTCTTTTGGGCGGCTCCGAGTAGTAGGCCTCGACCTCAGCCAAACTTTCAGAGACAAGCAAAGTGTGCAATCGTCTCTCCACTGTCAGAAGAAGAAGCGAAACCGGGAGACCGTAAAGGAGCCGACTGCAAGCTTGCGTCTGCTTGCATGAGACTGAGAAATGCAGACGAACCGTCTGTGCCGTTCGCAGAAGCAGACGGCTGAATGTGAGCGGGCTGGGGGCGGAACCCCAGCAGGCTCCAGTTCGTCGAAGTGAAAGATGAGGTTCGGAGTCCTCCGCGGGGCTATGGCACTCTGCCACAAGGTCAGTGCTTGCTGCAGAATTTCACGCGCGTGCCTGTGATTTTCTTCAGAAGGGCGTGTGAATGAAGAAGTCTGGAATGGGTTCATGAACCCACACCGGTCCACACTGCTCCAATCCGCTCGTCCGAATGAAATGGCCTGCTGCCGCGATTGAAATTCCTCAATGAACTTGAACTCAAACCTTGAGACGAAGGTCCCCAATTCTCTTGTCTATCGTTCTCTTGTTCTGATTTCTGAAGGCCTCACTCCATTTTTTGATGCAAGTGTTGCACAGTGTAACCTGGTGCCCCCCACATGCACCCACCCTGTCTTTCTGTTCAGCTTTCTGGGATGCGGGGGTGCCCTCACACCGTCCGCAGTGTTTTCAGGATCAGGATACCTGCAAGGCTGACTACATCTTCACATGTTTGAAACTCCACACACACCTTGCGGTCGGCTCCATTGTCACCGAAAAAGCTTCGGCTTCATTAAGCTGCGCTTCGGTCCCGAGCCTAGGTTGGGTTCTAAAGACATGACCCGGCCGGGCCCAACCCGCAACTTGGTGGAAACATGGACCGACAGCAGCTACAGTCCTGTAGCAGCAGCATGTGCACAGTTTTTCAGTGTCCGGATCTTCGCACCGGTGAAGGCTTAACCGCCCTGGGCGCACATGTCGCTGCAGGCCGCGTCCGCAGCCAGTGGCACCAGCCGCCAGCCTTCCATCACTTGGTCAGAAAGGCATGCCGCCGTCATGGCCTCAGTCATCATCTCGGATTGGGCCCAAATCAAAAACATGGCGTCTCTCCACCCGGGCCTTGTGCAATTTTCCATTCGAGTCCTGCAGACTTCGCTCAAACGAACATCGATTTGGAAATACAAAAAACAGTTCGTTGCGAAAAGCAACCTTATCCTTGGCAGTGTCCTTGATCACTTGCTCGTGAGGGCTAACCAAACATGCCGCCAGCTGAACTCCATCTGCTTTCGAGACATGCCCTGTCGCAGGAAGCAGCACTGGGCCGACCAACTACAACGATACCCACGTTCGAAATTTCAGTCGAGGCTCCAAGTAGACGGTACTCCTTTTCGTGTACTGGTCGAACGGCTACAATTACTTGCCCGCCGTTTCCAAGATGGTTGGTGATCCTTGCAGAATCTGCAACGGTGCCGCAGATGTGAGATACCCGGGCAACGACAGGCGCACATCCTCCCTGATACTGTAGACTTCTGCCGAGGCTCGCGTTAATCACCTTGTTTTGCCTGTCGCTCCTCTGTGAGCCTGGGCACCGAAAAAGATTCATGTTAGGCTTTCGGCAAAACACCCCTTTCGAGCAGAGGACTCCATTCGAGACTTCGGCTTTCCAAGTCCAGATGACCTCCTTGATAGCCGGCCTGGAAATGGGATGCGCCCGGCAAGGGCGACCCCGGGGTACTTCCGTTGCTGGAAAGTGGCCAACATGTTTCCCCCTCGTCTCTGCGGTGAACATTTGGGCGCGTTTCGAAACCTGGAGTTGTTGCGGAAACGACGAGATCAAGCCATGGATGCGCACGTGGCAACGGGCAGCTGACAGAATCAGCAAGTCATCCTTCGCCAACACTTTGGCCTGAGTTCAAACGACTGCTTGGTTTTCTCGAAGGGATGCCTCCACTCTCAAGCTTGTGACCTTTGCATTTGAAACAGCTCCTTTCGAAGTGTCAGATCTTGAAGCAGCAAGCCTTACTTAGATCCTAACTTAGGGTACTTGTCGTCACTGGGGTGACCTTCACGGGTCCTGCACCGGTGTCTGTCGAAGCTCGTGCAGCTTCCCCTGCAGCCTGTTGGTGAACTCCATGCGGGAGTGCGTGCTGCGGCAGCCCCTGCCTCCGGTCTGACGCCCACTATACCAGTTCCAAGGGCACCAAAGCAGACATCCCACCCTGTGGCCATGACCTTCCGATGCTCAGGAAGCCCTGTCTGCTCTGCAACGAGGGAACCGTGCAGAAACTGTCAGAAAGGCCTGGTCGACGAAGCCCGACTTAGTACCAGACTCAAAACGAATCAAGCACTGCAGACATACACAGCGGTGTGTCTGAACACGTTCTTGAGGCTCTGAGCGCAATACCTGATGAACGTAGAATTTCTTCTCCCAGGCCCCGGCCTCAATGCTGCAGCATTTCTGCATCGGCTACACTTTGCCACTGTCCCTGGCTTTACAGCACAATCCCCGAGTAGCATTGCACCGTCCCATGTTATGCTGTGGCAGGCGGCGTGGCTGCTATTCTTCAAACCAGACTTCCTGTGTGTTAGCACGGATTGACAAGGCAAAAACTAGACCTCCTCAGCCTGGTTTGAAATCAGGGATCCGTGTTCGGGAGGGCCGGAACCGTGGGCCGTGTGTTTGTTTAACCAATTCTGGACCTGACAGGTAGCCTTGACCCCGGGTGTATGGGCCTCAGGCCTGCTCCTCTGCTTCTTTCCGACACCGCTTCCTTGCAGCTGCCAGGAACTATCGCCATTTCTCCATGCTGCACTAGACTCTGGACTGCATGCCAAGGTCTTCGGAGCAGCATCTTCGTCCAATTCCCTGTCCGCACAATGACGCATGCTGTTTGATACACACCTATTATTCCGTGACACCATGCTGTCAGCTGTCAAGCCGAGCATCTTCTTGACCTTCACCTTTGTGGCTCTAGTCTTCGCCTTCGCTTTAGCCTTGGTCTAGATGTCAGCTTTCAACATCACTCTGCCGAGCGGGAAAGTTCACGTGCATTGCATGCGAGAGCGCAAACCCAGTAGGTGCCTCAAGCCCCCGAGCATGTAGGCCTCGGGCGCTCTGCTTGTCTGTTTTTCGGTGCACCAGCTTCCTTGCAGCTGCAGCCGAGGTTTCCGTCAATGTCACTCTTTGCACCACAACCAAACATGTCTAAACTGCATGCCAAGGTCTTCTGAGCAGCATCTTCGTCCAACTCCCTGTCAACAGTGACATGGGCAGTTTGATCTGCAGTTCCGTGAAGCTCATTGCTCTGTCAAGCCGAGCGTCTTCTTGACCTTGACCTTTGGAGACGCTTTGGCTTTGGCGGCTTTGGCCTTCGCCCCAGCCTTGGCCTTGGCCTTGGCTTTGGCCTTGGCTTTGGCTTTGGCTTTGGCCTTGGCCAGGACCTTGGCCTTGGCATTGGCCCTCTCCCGTTTGGCGAAACCTCCTGCATTGGTCTTCGCCTTCTCTTTCCTTTGCGGCTTTTCCTGTCCCGGTGAGGCTGCTCATGCTCGACACAAAATGATGTGGCTTTGCCTGAGGTTCCTTCTTGACTCTCCTCTTCCTCGTATCCTGCAAACGGCAGTGTTGGTTCCGGGAAAGCCATCGAGCACTCTTACCGCACCTGCATCTTGTAAGCAATGTCTCTTTGCGATAGTAAATGATAGTTAAGTTACATCAGGATACAACGAATGGGTGCCATCGAACTCCCAGAGCTCGCACAGACCTCCTCTACGTGACACTCGACCAAGGCATGCGGAAAATCGACTTTGTATCCCAGCTCAGCCTCCTCCGCCTCTCTTTGTGCATCCGCTTCGTTGATGGCCTTTGCCTGCTACTTGCTTCTGCGCGGAGATCATAGCAAGCCCCTTGCGGTTCACAGTTGGAGGCATGTTGGAACATACGACGAGCCTTGGCAAACATTTTCACGAGGCTGGCCGTACCGGACTGACAAAGCATGCGGTGATCAGTCTGCCCTTGTCAGGCTGCCTTGGACTGCCCGTCGAGAAGTCACTGAGTGCGTCGCCATGCTACTCGCACCGCTTGTAGATGGTGCCATGAAGCTTTCAAGATCTATTGTATGGTTCTGGCTTCGCAACTGGCTTTTGGCATTGCGCGATTTGAAACACTCTCGGGGTATGCTGCGGGCTGACTGAGACAGGTCGGATGCAGCAACAACAAATGCAACCCTGAGCCGAAACGTGACAGCCTGCAGACAGCTGCTCGGCCTGCTCGTGGCATCTCTGTACCGCTCTTTCTTTCCACAGGCCCAAATACAAGCCCTCTTTATGCGGGGGCCTGTCATCTCCAGCCCTTTCTATCGCTGCGAGTATGCTCCCCCTCCTGATCATGCTGCCGCCTTCTCCAAGAGGGCGCTCTCCGAGTCGAAAATGAGCTGTTCCAGCGTCGCGACCTCGAACGGAGAGTGGTGGAGCGGCTATGCGGCTGCACTGGACCGAACCACGAAGCCAAGCAAAGAGGAAGCCGAGAAGCCATGTAAGCAGCATCTCGTAAATCAAATCCGCTCTCCGCTACGTGGCTTGAATGCAGCACTGACTCCACAAATCCAGGCACCTTTGGGCGCAGCACATGCACGGCTTCTAGAACCGGCACACATGGTCACACATGCATTGCTGGCACCTGTTCACTAAGAATATCGGCAGCACCCCACGTTGATTCATTGACGAGGCGAGTTGGCCTGCAGTCTGTCGCATCAGCACACCAAGAGCAATTAACAAAACATACGTCAGATGGTTGGATGCTATCCAAGGCTCTCAAAGCCTCGGAGCACCAAAGCCGAGCGTCGATGAAAATAGCGATACACAAGATACCTCTCCAGCACGCAAAACAAGAGAGTTTCTTCAGCGCCTGTCACTATGTGTCATGCAGGAGACTGCCAACCTGCCTCTTAAAATCTTGCAAAAAGGAGATCTGGCTGGCAACGGGAGCTGACGTTGCGCTGAAGAGGCAGAAAGAAAAAGGAAAAGTGGACCGGAAACACGAGGGTTTGGGCCCCACACACCAAAAACAATCGAGTGGTGAGTAGCGAGTGGTGGATATGTTGTCTCAGTTTCGTAGCCGTGCCTAGCACGATTGATCCCTGGATCCGCTGCGACCGCGGAACCCCTCGTGCAACCAGCGGTGAAGGCGTGCTGCATTCCCTCTCCAGCAATCTCCAGCCGTGGATCGCTAGTCTCGAGCTCCAACCATATACAGTAGCCCCCAAAGCCTGCGGCTTGGAATCTTACTACGAAAGTCATACAAACCACACATCATGTAGGACCCACTCACCCAACGTCTCTCTCCGGTCCATCCTTTTCCATTCCCTGCCTCCACTTCACTTGACACGGCTCTGTGGCAACACTCAAGTGACTCTCAGATGGTGTCAAGGAAAGAACAGCGGCTGTTACCAAGAAGCATTGCCTTGAGCCATTGGGATTACAGTGACTACAGCATTGCTCGTTAACGAAGTGGTCTTCCAGCCTCAGCGATCTTCTCTCTAGACGCCCGTTGCTGTTCTTCGGCAGTGTGACAAACATCTTGCGCAGATCCTCCAGGCATCGTGATGCTAATAGCCCAGCCATTACCAATCCGTACGCCCGTGCCTCCTCTGTCGCCTGCAGATGCTCCTCTGTAACCTCCCCGCCACAGCCCAGTGCCTCTGCAGAAAAATAAAGTGTTCCCATTAACGGGACGATGGAAACATCTGTGGGCTTCTGTGGGTGCTGGTGGCCTCGTCCATGGCATTTCGGACTTCCGACTTGAAGGCGTCTGCATCCAGGCTGCGGGCCTGGAAGCTGCTTGGTATCAAGCGTCAAGCGCTGCGCCAGAGCCGCCAGAAGCGCAAGTGCGAAAGCATGCCAGCTTCACTCGTAGACCCTTCTTCTCAACGAGAAAGCCATCAGCACGCCCGTCCACTGAAAAGGGACAAATGGCTACCTTTCACAGGACAGGAAGAGAAAATCGACCTCTGAGGCGAGTCACAGGAGCCTGTATCAATGCAAGAAGCGACCATCCGCCTGGAGCCATGGCCTGAAGAAGGAAAGCCTCTCAGTAAGGACTCGCTCCCAAGCTGAGCTCGCAGCCTTAGATTGTAAAGTCCGTAGTTAATGTGGAACCACGCGCAAACCTCAGGTTGCACAGCATGGTCCAGAGCACAGCCCTGCATGATACATGTTATTTCAGACTGCTGAGGTTCAACACGTGGAGAGAGAGTTGGGGTTTCGATCTCGCGGAGCACTAGTGCTTCTAGGCTCTTCTCTTGAGCCGAAAGTGAGGAACAAGGAGCTTCTGAATTTCCCGCACGGGGTATGCTAGCTCGACGTTTAGGCCACTGGCCTTGCGTATCCGACCCATCAGCACAGCTGATGGATTCAAGCCAACAATGGAGCCTGCTCACGAATCTCTTAAACCAGGTTAATTAGGATCTCAACAAAAGAGCGGAGTTGGGCAAAACATAGACATCAAGCCAAGGTCAGGCCCGTCCTTCTGCCATCACGGCTTGTTGCAGATGTGCTGGCCTCAGATCTGTTCACGCTCTGAGTTCACACGGAATTCGCCCACTCTGTGGCAACGGCAGTGCTCTGAGCGCTTGCTCAGAGTTCTGGTCAGCCCCCGCAGAGCGGCAGAAGACGCCAATGACCTCCACAGAATTTCCACGGACACCGACGGAGGCTCCAATGAAGCATTCCGAGCACCCCACGTCGCTGGCACCCACAGCTGCCGGCACGATACTGGTCACCAGGGCCAGAGGCGCACCAAATCCGGAGCTGGTCACAAGTGCCGTCTCTTTCTTCGGCTTTTCCGGCGTGTCTGAGCCTTAGGCGACACGTGAACCTGCTCCAGCTGCCACTGAGAAATTCTTCCAAAAGCAGCCGGCCAGAGGACTCGTCATCTTTGGACCTGCTGCGCAAGTGTGTAAATGCCTGTGGCGGAAGGTCTCAGACTGAGGGAGCGAGGGAGCCCCCAAGCTCCGCCGAAACTCAGACCGGAGCCGGCTACGCTCGGAGCGCCGTCGCTTCTCCCGCCGCTCCTGGAAAGGTCGCAGCTTTCTTGTCTGCAGGTCGCATGCCAGGCTGGCCTTGCGGTTCTTGTCGCTGCTGGAACTGCGGGCATTCCTGAGCTTCTTCTTTGTCTCAGACCTCGGCTCCAGCAATGGATTCGGGACAGTGAGACCTCGGTACATTGGACAAGCGGCTGCGGCTTCTTCTTCTCCACCTTGTGATGGCTCAGACAGAACTCTACGATGTTGAAGCTCACAACACCATAATCTCATGCTTCTAAAACGAGAGGTGCCTTCTTGTCTTTTTCTCTGAGACCTTTGATGGCAGCAAGGAAGGCAAGCTTGTCCTTCTCCTTCTCCTTCTCGATGTCGTCATCACTGTCCTCTTCCTTCCTCTTATCACCATCAGCTTTTGGTCTGGCTTTGGGCTTCTCCTTGCCCTTCTCCTTCTCACGCTCCTTGTCCTTACGCTGTTTGTCCTTTTTGTCTCTTTCAGACTCCTCGCATTGACGTATGCTGTCCCACCGGAAATTGATCATGCACTCGAAAGGTAGTGCAAGTGGGACCTTCTTGTCTTTCTTTTCCTTCTCCTTCAGCGCCTCCTTCTCTTTTCTCTTCTCCTCGAAAGAACTCAACGCCGAAGCATGTCTATCATCAAAGGGAACAACTTGCCAAGAACTTTCCTTCAGCTTCACATCAGTTCCCTCTGACGAAGCCTCATTATGAACAGGCACTTGAGTGCAGAGTAGGGCCGAGCCACAGTTTCTCTGCTGAGAGCATGGCCCTGCCCATGACGCGATCACGTGCACCGGCACTGCATGTTTCCCTTCCCTGGCTCGGTTCAAATCCTGCTCCTGCTCAGCCCTCGGCTGCTGACATTGACTAGACTGTTAGAGTGTGAATCGTACGGCCGATGAGGAATCTTCGACTCGATGGGGACGGGGATGGGGGGAGAGTAGTCCATAGCACTTCACGGTTCTTGTAGCGATCTAGATGCATCTGCCCGGTTCGGGAGCAACTACGCTGGAGCCACAGCAGATTGCGACAGTCAAACGTAACGTCCGGAACACCTCGAAGCTCGATTGTTCACAGCCGACTGAAGCTTGGATGGGCTGACGCTGAAGCCGAGTCCTGCCGGCGGCTACTCAAAACAAAGACAACACGACAACCACTGAACAAGACTAGAAGTCTTCATGACCAGACAGTGAAATCCAGCAACATGACCGATCTGCAATCCCACCCTCCTGGCACTCTGAGGGTTGAGAGTGCACAGCGATAGTGCCTCCAGAAGGGCATGAACATGCGAGACGGTCGCTCATGTAGGATCAGGTGGTAGATGTAGCAGAAGAACATCCTGGATCCAAGCGCTCAGCGCCGCACCGATGCTGACTTCGTCAATTCCGGCCAAAGTTCTGATGGCGACGGCCTGAAGCTTCAACCGTCTTCAAAAGTCTGCGCATGGCCACTAGCCGCCACTAGCCACTAGCCAATGATCCCTATGGACCCTGCCAAGTCTGACTCGACGACATGCCCATTGAGTGCTTGCCTGCACAACGGGCAAAACTTGCAGCTTGAGGTTGCTAACAACAACAGTTAACGCTGCCACAGTTCTCAGACACTGCCTTACTGCAAGTGCGCTGGCTGCCGACACGTCGATGACAGACTCGGCATGCAAAGAGCATCACAGATGAATTTCCATAAACTGCCCGCCAGTGAGTCTGCCACCCCCCATTATGCCCCTGACCTGTGCTAGGACGGCCCCAGGTGCAGGGCGGAGCTCCACTTTGACGTCCTGCTCCTGGAAGAATTGCAACTACATCCGAGTCCAGCACATTGCAGCGGCAAGGCTGACCGGCTGACCTTGAGGCTATGCCCCACCTGGAAGGACTTCTGCTTGCCGTGCGACAAATCTTTGTGGAACCGAATCAAGCTGCCTCGGACAAGATCGCCGCCTTCAGCGCATGCTCGAATGATTCTTGCAGCTTTGCTTTGCCTGCAAGCCTTGGGGCAGAGTTGTGCCGGTCATTCCAACCAGGAGAACATTCTTGCACCTACCTGGCACTATGCTGGGTCCCATGCATGTAATAATCCACCCCACACACGGTTCTCGTGAAGTCAACCTTGCATCGTGCCGGAAGTCACCACTGCTGAAGACAGGCACACGACAAAGCTTTCCTGAGCTCGAGCGCTGTGGGAGGGCCCATCGAGCCTTCGCCCAAGGGGATGGTGCCCACAGTGGGAGATGCGGCGACCTCTGAATGGAAACCACACAAAAGGACCGGTACAGTGCAATTTGCGTCGCCGAGCTGCCACGACGGCCGGCGCCGGCCCAGGAGCCGGTCCGGGCATAGGAGCCGGAGCCGGTGCCGGAGCCGGCGGAGCCGGTGCCGGCGGAGCCGGAGCCGGCGAAAGGACTGGAACGTCCGCCGGGCCTCGAAAGTCTGCACCAACAAAAAAAAAACGAAGGCGCTGGCTGCGACCAGCTGGGCACCGAACTCAGCACGGGCCCTGCCGACCTCTGCAGTGCCCATTTTCACAGCCCCATCAGTTGCAGCTGTGTTGGGCCATTCCGGGCTGCATACCGGTCTACCCGAAATCCATCCCGAGCGAGCACCTGAAACTTCAAGTTGGGTCTCTGCTCACATTGCGCGATCTTCGCTCGGCTGTGGACTTCGGATTGAACGTCCGCCTGAACTGCAGCCACCAACCTTGAAGGTTGGCAGCAGCGATCAAGGCAAGTTGACGGTGGTGTTGGGGCCACAGCGACGCGATAGCTTTATCCTCGCTGTTTGATCGCAAGAAACCTGGCAAGACCCAATGTTGCAATCTCTGCAGGCCAAGTCTTGATTCCAAGTGCGCACAAAAGCTCATCTCAGGTCCGGACTCACGGCACCTGCTTGGTACACCTCGGGCATCTGCACCGCAGAAAGGACCAACCATGGCAACTGTTCTGTCACGGGGCTGCCAAAAGAAGCAGCCAGCCTCCCATATGCTGACCTGTAGCACGCAGGTTGCCACATGTTCCACGCACAAGACATCGCGGAATATGCGGAGCCTTGCTTACTTCGTTGACTTTCGGACCGGGATTGGGTCGCAGCATGACGACCCTACCCAACAAGATCCAACGAAAATGCAGCATATGCAATTCATGCACATGCTAATCCGGAGACATGACAGATATGCAAACTTTCATAGTTGAGTTGGCAAGGTGCACTGGGACTTTGCGATATCTTGAAAAACTCACAAACTCTCCCTAACGATGTCTCAGACAACTTGACGATCGCCGGCAGGCTGTTATTGTGTTTTCATTTGTTTGCCATGGCGGCATTCTATGTTGAAAAGGCAGCGTGCCAAAGGGACATACCAGGCCCATGTTGAAGTCACACAGAGCGACGCATTGCTGATATTGAAAACAAACTTTCATGGCTGAAGGCGGCACTGGAGTCTGCATCTGACACTGAAAGCATCTTCAACAGTGTCGCGTGTGCAAAAGGATGACGGGGTCCTCATGTTTGTTCGGTACCATGGAAGCCAGAAGGGCATTAATATTCCGGAAGGCTTTGGAATTCTTCGAACTTGTTGTGAAAAACAGACGTTGAATGATTTCGTATCTCTATACCTGTCGGCGGGAATGAGACGTGAGCATGTTAGCAAGAGATAACCGGATGATTTCTGATGATAGTGGTGGGTGTAGCAGCGGACTCAGGATAGGGATTGACGGGGTGGTAGGGCTCAGCGTCCTTCTCCTGCAGTCCAGCGAGATTTGACAACCAATCCAAACGCAGTCGGTGAAAAGAGGTAGAACAACTTTGTCCGACGGAATCGGCGTTGCACACACAAACACACACACTCATAGCAACGTACTGCAAAAAGATCCGTTAACAGAGCGCTAATTCATCGAATAACGAAAAATTGAATGAAAAGCCAAAGCCGACGATACGCGCGGCTAATCAGCGTTTGAAACTCGATTTGTGGCATGGCAAGTGCAAAAGCAGCGATCCACAAGAGTTTTCCAACCAAGCGCTCGAGCACTCTGAATCAAGTGTAAACTTATGAACCTTCTGAAACTGGACATCCCGTGCGATCCATCACTCTCCGACTCCTGATGTCACTTCCGTAACGCTGTTCATTTATTATGTTTTTTCATTTTGTCCAGGAATTTTACGACATCGTCGGCATGCGGGATGCGTCTTGTTTAAACTTTTGTGTTGGGCAACACACGTAAAAGCTGAGGATTCCACGTGCTTTGCTGTTTTGAGGAGCTACCTGGCAAAGCGCGCAGGGTAAAAGGAGCTCGGGGTCCAGATGGTGTGTCAGGAAACGATAGTTTGGATGTTGTGGTCGGTTCTAGGGTTGCAAAAACTGGCTGCCGATGCTTTAAATCTGCGGCAAAATCGCATTTGCAGAAATGCGGCATAGAGTTGCCAATTGGTTCCATCACCAATGAAATCTGTGATGCATCCAATCCATGAGCTAGATGCTCAATCGCCAGAGAGCAATCAATCCTCGATGCGGACAGTACTGCCGGCCGGGACAATGAGTGTCGTGACCGACGTGTCCCTCAATGGCCTTGCCATCGGTCTCTCTTTGACAATGAAGCCATCTTCAATGATCAAATCCACCTCCTGGCAATCGTCATCAAGTTGAGACAATGTAGTAGGACACGCATCAGCGTATTCGATCGGGAACAGCAAATGTTTTGCGAAGGCCACTTGCATTCTGAAAACAATCGATGCGAGTCCAGTAAAGCAATTCGTCAATTGCCAGTACTGTTCCAATCGCCATCAATCCAGCTCTTTCCAATGGATCCAATTGAAACAATCCAGCATCTGGAGACCATGTCGTCAGAAATGAGGACCCAATGTATGACACATTATGAAAGTCCTTTTGGCCTCCTCGGCCTTCACCTGTGCGGAAATCAATGCTCAATCGAATATGCAGTGGATGAAACAATACTATGCCAATGAGCGTGTCGCCTGCAACGACATCGAAGCTGAATGAACCTTGGCGAATCCAATGGCCAAGTTTGAGCAATGCCTGGTAGGGAGTCAGCCCAAAATTTAACTGCCCCTGGCCGGGCAATGCTGACACGTTCACCGATTCTGAGTCAATCAGCATTTGAATCCAGGTGACTGGCAATGCCAAGAATGTCCACACATCCGACAATTGGTTGTGCATGTCAATGGTATCAGTTGCAGTCATTACCACGCATGTCCGCAATGCTGCCTTGAAGAAGGTATCCAATGTTGGAATTGGACAATAGAAATACTTCTCCAAGTCAATGGCAGATCGAGTCTGGACTGCTGGCATAATGACCGAATGCCATCTATCACCAATGACTTTATTCAGCCCTTGTGCCATTGTGGTGTAACCCAATGACGTTGGTTGAATCAAATGCTAATGGCAAGTAAGGGCAGGAGACAATGAGACCAAATTTCCTGTCACTCTCACATACTGGGATGCCACTATCCGAATCGCGCACTCCTGTTCCCTGGAGGCCTCAAATGTGATGTTCTGGTCAGTTCTGTCGCTCGAATTGTGTTGCGACATCAATAGGGAGGATGCCAAATGTAATAGCGTTGACCCAATTGAGAACGCGTTGGGAAACAACCCAATCGTCAATCACGTTTCTCGTCTGACTAATGAGACGAGTGAATGCGAAGAATTGTCCTCCATGGCGGCAATGTCCCGGTGGAGGAATCTACAATGCGAGACGCAATGAGAAGGCTGCAGCGCAATGCTGCAATTCCACTGAAGCAATCAAGAAAGACACAATCACTTCAGTGCACTCA